GGGAGGGGGGGAGGAGAGGAGGGGGCGGCCTCGCCGGCAGGCGTTCGCCGGGGGCACCCCTCCTGGCCGAAGGCCCCTTGCGGGCCTCCCGTCGCCCGTGGCAACAGGCGAAGCCGCCGCGGCGGTGGGGCCTGGCGCGAAGTCCGGGTCCAGGGTCCAAGGCCCGGGCAGCGCTTTGGCCCGGCTGCGGGTCCCGGGGCCGCCCCGTCCCCTGGCGCCATGGCCGCTGAGGTGGTGGTTGTGGGATCCTGTATGACCGACCTGGTCAGGTTAGTACCCGGGGCTCCCGCAGGCCGTCAGGCCCCGGCGCGGGGCCGGTTCCCTGCCCTCACTGGACGGAGGGGCCCCCAGGTGAAGGGAGCGCAGGCCGTCCCGGTGCCTGGGGCAGAGCGGAGGCTCCCTGCGCCTCCCAAGGGCAGGCCGGGCCGGGGCGCACCCCGCCTCTCCCGCCCTGAGCCAAGGAAAGCGCCTGTCACGGCTCTCCCCAGGCCGGGGCAGGAGAAGTGGGGTCGGCGCCAGGTGGGGCGGCGAGGAGCTGTCGGCCCTGGGCAGAGGGAACCCGGGCGCAGAGCTGGCTGCGGCAGGGGCAGGGGCAAGGAGCGGAGCCGCCGGTGGGGGCGGCTGGGCCCGGGTGATGTCAGCCCTGTAAATAATACTTTGAAAGAAGACTGTGGGAACGGGGAGAAGTTTGAACGTGTTGTCTGGTGGAGCTTTGATCAGCTGTCTGTAACTTTAGGGAGAAGAGAGACTTGGGTTTGTGTTTTCAGCTGCGCTAGGTGGCTCGGCGTCAGCCTTGCCAGAAAAGCAGCATTGCATAGTAACCCGCACGGGAAATCGTGAACTCTGAGACTCTTTATCAGCAGAAGAGTTTGAAACAATTTTATGAAGGTAAATAAAGCTGGTCAACTGTAACACGTTTTCAGTTCAAAGCACTTGTCTCCACTAGAAAAGCAAGAAAGCAAGCTTAATATTGCAAAGAAACTGGAGTTAGCTCCATGAAAAAGTAGGTTATAAGTTTATTACTTGCAGACATCATTTTATGTGACACTTGGAAAGGCCCCAAGCTGTTCATATCCAAACAGATTGAGAAGTGGTAATAGGAAATCCTCAAAAAATTTAGCACCTTTGCACCCCAAAGCTTTTTTTTTTTAATTAAAAAGCATTATGAAATCCTTTTTTAAAGGACTGTCTCAATTCCTTTTTATTCATTTTCTGGTCATTTTGCTTTTAGAATTAAGTATTTGGGTCTCGTTGTCTTTTTTTTTTGTTCATAGGTAAGGTTTGGAAACTTCTTTTAAATATTAAAGTACAGAAGTTCGTGAAAACTCTTGGTTCCAGTGGCCTGGGTTTTATAGTGAATACTAAATATCAGAAGAATTCAAGCAAAATTGCAAGAGTTGGCAACAATGCAAATACTAATCTAAACTGGCTGACCTTGTCAGCCCCAGTAAACTTGCAAATCAATCTTTGATTTGCACTGTTTTAAACACATCTGTTTTTAAACTATATATGCAGACTTGGTTAAAATAGGATTTAAAACTGTATGTTATCTGGACTGCATCAGTTTGTCCTGCTGGGAAGTCTGCAGTAAAAAACACAATTCCTGAATCAGCAGACAATAATATCAAAGCCTGTGGGTCGAGAAAGTGTAGAATACATGATTAAAAGAATGTGCTGAGGAGTAAGTGCAGTTTAGGCATAGACATGTGTTGCAGAAATGATGAAAACCCTTAAATAATCCTAGAACCTGTGTCAGAAAGATTTAATGCTTTATGTAATCTGCAGAACACGCTGGCAGCTTTCCAAGAAGAATAGCTGTTAAGTCAGAGCAAGATCTTGTAGAACTGATCTTGACGTTATGTGTGAATGAGCTATCAGATGCTTGTGACGTTATATTGAAATATAAAACATAGTGCTCTAACCTCAAGACGTTCTTTTCCTGTCTTTCTAAAGTGTGGGGGGAAAAAAATCGTCAAAGAACTGTCTACCAGTTTAAGTACTGCTGACAGCTGTAGCCTTGGACTTTTTCTTAACATTTAAACAAACAAACAAGCAAAAAAGAAAACTCCAATTTTTTTTCACTGTAAGTTTGATACGATAGAAATACAGTCATTTATTTGAAGCCATATTAACTGCCCATATTGTAACCAGAGATTAAACTGTGGGTTGTAGCTATAGATGCTGTTACACTGAGATTAAGTGGTTGAAGAAAAGCCATTTCACTTTTTGGTCAGCTGAGAGGGTTTCTTAAATTGTACAAATGCTATCACAAGAATGTATCTGACTCGCCATTATTAGCCTCTACTTTAAGAGGCAGTGAAGGGCTTTCTGTTAGTGATAAGGAAATTTATTTTGACTGAAAAAAAAAAGGGAGAGACTCATTCTTTCTGTTACTAGTACAGGACTTCAGACACTTTTCAAAATAAGAAAAAAACTGGGTTTAAATTTAGCTGGCAAGAGTTTAATCGGACTGAAATCTCCATGTAGTACCCATCTAGATGTAGTTTAAATGTATCCCGTGTTACAAAAATCCTGGTAAAATTACTGGAAAGTACTAAACTATGGGCTGGGATGCACCTAGGTGGAGAGCAAAGCTATGAAACAGGCAACGATAAACTTTATAAACTGTGGTAGAAACTGGCAGATTAGGATTGATGCCAGGAGGGTCTGTCTTGACTGTCTTTATATCTGGGATTTAGAGGGGGCTGTATATTGTAGGTTTAAAGCTAGGGTTCATTTTGGCAGGGATGAAAGAGCATCAGTTTTTTGCAAATTTGTCACTGATGCTGGTGTTTCAGTTTGTAAAAGACAGGGACAGCAGTGATCATGTTAAATGCCGGTCTATCACCCGTTTGGAGGGGACTAAATTAAACTAAATTAGGAGTGAGAGTCATGCAAAGGAGGTCAGACACATTTTTAGACACATTGTGTTTGATAGGCAAATTCACCAGTCAGGACTAAAGCCTTTCTTTCCTAGAAGATAATCATATTGATTGAGACTCTGCCAGAATTAGACAATGCTATGTTATAACTCAAACTGATAAAATGCCATGTTGGCCCTCCAGAATACAACCTTGGCCCTCTGTCTGGAAAGGTAGAAGCTCAGAGTGGCAGACGTTAAATGCTAAACATTCCCAGATCTGTAGAGGCAAGGTACGGAAAATCAGAAGGATAAGCTTCAAGCTACCATTGGACATGGTAGCCAGATTCACCACTAAAAAAAGTTAGCATATAATGTCTTTACTCAATATGGTAAATTAATGACTTAAAGAAGCATAACCTCTCTGTGAAATGGAAATGTACGATTTGAAATTTGCTATGTCTTATATAATGACTGAGAAGGAAAAAGACGGGGACCTTCTGTGGAAGACAGTATTCAGAAGTAATTTTCACAAATAATCACATTCAGAAAAAAGGGTACTGTGCCTTAAGATTCTTTTAAAGGGAAGGGGCCTAGTGGTTTATTTTTAAAAACACTGTTCTCATTGGAAATTCTTTTCTCATTGTCCTGTAGCGCTGCAGTGGCAGAATGTGGCTTTTCTAAAGTGAATTTAGTATAATCAAAACAACCTCACGTACATACATGCAGTAAACCACACTCTTTTGGCTTAATAGGACCAGGAACAAAACATATTTGTGGTCACAATCACAATCAACACTTCATTGGCAATATTAGTAGAAAACAAAAACAGCTTTATTCTGTATGATCTAGATACCAAACCAGATGGGTACCATCTCTAGTATTATTTAAATAGTTTCTTTTCTGACTAATATTTGCAGACTGGTCGTGGCATTGGCATTTTATTTCATATTAAATCAGGACAAGACTAAACATATAAACCAATGAGAGTCAGACACACTAAAACAATTAGAATAAACAGGAGAAACTTTGGCATGGCAATTGAAAACAGCAGAAGCAAAGAACAAAATGTAAGATGGAAAAACAGTCTTTGGATAGTCACAACAGCAACAGTTTTTCACTTTAACTAAAGAGAACGAGGCCACAGCCCAAATACTAGAAAACTGTGTTTGTTACGATGTTCAAAACTCGAAGTCTTACTTTTCTGTGGCCTTCTTTCCTTCCCTCGGGTTGCTTCATTCCCTGTAGGGAGTAAAACTAAAGTCTCTGCTGCCAGTCTCCTGTTGTAACAACCATTGTTAATTAGTACAAGTAGTAAACTGCTTGACTGAAAGCATTCAGCAAGAGAAGAAGACATGGCAGGAAAAGCATTGAGCTACAAAGTAAGACATTGCCTGACTAGAGTGGACAGTGATGACAAAGTCTCATCTGAAATTAACATCCCAGAGTGGCCTGATGAAGGCGTTGAATCATTTTTGGTTACCAAACACAATCTCTGCTTATCCAAAATATCCATTAGAGAGATTCTGTGTCTTCCTCATAAGTCTCTAGTGGTGATTATTGTCAGCTGAAGTAAATGTCTCATTGGAAATGTCCATGATCCAAAACCATATCTGTACATTCTTTTTTGAAATGCAATATTTGGGACAATAATTTCAGGGTTCCTTTGTGGGAATATGGGACAGAATTTTCTTACGTTCCTTTTGAGTGAGCAGCAAAGGCTCACATATGACTTAATTTTCTTCTTTGCTTTGTTTCCAGGTCTTTCACATGTGTTCTCGTTTCCACCATTTCTCATGCATGCACAGTCACCATGTTATAACGTTGGGGTTTTTTGCTTTAGTGTTTTTTTTCTGCTCTTCAGTTTCTCCTCGCAGGAGAGAATCCTTCAAATCCATTTCATTTGTGTTTTTGTTTTTATCTGTAATGCTTCCCCTGCAGCAGCCACTCCTCATTCTAGTCAATCTGCTGTTGCCAGCAGCATGGGAAAGCACAACTGTGAAGGAATACAAGCTTAGTCCAGTTGAGGAAATTAATCTTTTGGATCCAGAGAAAGGCATCAAGGCATGAGAGAATGTGTCATCTGTGAATTGTTTAGTTTATGTAATAGTGAAAAATCTGGGCTTGATTTCAGAGCCTGTACTATTCCCTTGTCTTCTTCTCTGACCTAGCAAAATTTGGATGTATAGTAAATGCAGGGTGCACAGGCCTGGTGTTTTGTTGTTCTGCCCTGATTTTAGAGGACCTCAATGTGGTTTAGAGAAACTCCCCTTTGCCTTCTCTGTCTGGCAGGAAGAAAGCTGTATCTTGGGGGCCCAAAAAGAAAAATGGGGTAAAAATCAAGTTGATGAAATCGTCAGTAATGGGATTCTGTAAGAAAATTGTGGTTTTTTCATATACAGCTCTTGA